TTGCCTGCAATCCCAGCTACTCAGGGGGCTGAAGCAAAAGAATCCCTTGAACCCAGGGGGTGGAGATTGCAGCGAGCCGAGATCACTCCACTGCACTCCAGCCTAGGCGACGAGAGTGAAACTCCATCTCAAAAAAAAAAAAGAATTGTTTCATTTAATAATATATTAACCATTAACGACTTAATTATTAATGATTGATGTGTATTATTAAGATGAAAAAAAATGTCTTGCACTAACAGTGCTTAAATGAGAAAAGCAGGATATAAAACTAGAATTTTCAGTTGTTTGTATATACTTCAAAACCTATCAGTGTATTTACAATGGTTATCTCTAGAGGTTAAAATTACAGAATTTTTTACATTTTTTTTATAACGCACAACATTTAATTACATCATTAGAAAAGCACAGAAAATCAAATATTGCATGTTCTTACTTATAAGTGGGAGCTAAATCTTGGTTTCACATGGACATAAGGAAGGGAACCATAAACACTGGGGACTCCAAAGGGAAGGAGGGAGGGAGAGAGGCAGGGGGACAAGGGCTGAAAAACTTCCTATTGGACACTGTTCACTATGTGGGTGACAGTGTCAAGAGAAGCCCAAATCTCAGCATCACACAATATATGCTTATAACAAACCTGCACATGCACCCACTGAATCTAAAAGTAAAATATAAACGATAGATAGATAGAAAGAAAGAAGAAGAAAAAAAAGAATCCTAGACAAAACCATACACAGGCCTTTTATCTTTTTCTTTTTTTTTTTTTTTCCAGAGGGAGTCTCACACTGCACTCAGGCTGGAGTGCAGTGGCATGATCTTGGCTCACTGCAACCTCTATCTCCCAGGTTCAAAGAATTCTCCTGCCTCAACCTCCTGAGTAGCTGGGATTACAAGCACCTGCCACCACACCTGGCCTGATTTTTGTATTTTCAGTAGAGACGGGGGTTTCACCATATTGATCAGGCTGGTCTTGAACTCCTGACCTCAGGTGATCCACCTGCCTCAGACTCCCAAACTGCTGGGATTACAGGCATGAGCCACCGCACCCAGCCCAAGGACAGGATTTTTAAACCGTACATATTCATTTGCTGTTAAATAGTGATCCTACTGTCTGTAGGAGGTTGGGAAGTCTGAGCTCAGGAAGGAGGAACATGGCAAACTCATGCCATTTGTGGGTCTGATATTGGGTAACACTCCAGCATGCTGGCCCCCTCAGTTTTCTCCCTTCCTCGGTCTGAACCAAGCTCCCCAGACCGGCATGGTGGCCTACGCCTGTCATCCCAGTACTTTGGGAGGCAAAGATGAGAGGATTGCTTGAAACCAGGAGTTCAAGACCAGCTTGGACAACAAAGTGAGATGCTGTCTCTATAAAAATTAATTTTAAAAAATTAGCCAGGCATGGTAGCATGTGCCTGCACTCCTAGCTACTCAGGAGGCTGAAGCAGGAGGATGACTTGAGCCCAGGAGCTGAAGACTGCAGAGAGCTATGATGGCATCACTATACTCCAATCTGCATCACAGAGTGAGACTCTCTTGAGAGAGAGAGAGAGAGGAGAAAGAGAAAAGGAAGGAAGGAAGGGAGGGAGGGAGGGAGGTAGGAAAAGAAAAAAGAGAGAGAAAAAAGAAAGAGGGAGAGTGGAAGGAAGGCAGGGAGGGAGGGAGGGAGGGAAAGAAAAAAGAAAGAGAAAAGAAAAAAAGTGGGAGGAAGGAAGGAAGGAAGGGAGGGAGGGAGGGAGGAAGGGGAAGAGAGGAAGAAAGAGAGAAAGAAAGAGAAAAAGACAAAGAAAGACAGGAGAGAGAAAAAGAGAAAGAAGAGAAGAGAAAAGGAAAGACCAGACTCCTTAACAAAACCTTATGTGGTGTGTCTGCAACCAATTCTCCAGCCTTTCCTCCCCAGCCAAGCAGCCTTTTTATTAATTCATTGAACAGAGGCCTCTCGGCCCCACCTCCTTCCCTGGTTGGCATTTCAGTTCCCAGGTCCTGGAATCCACTTTCCCATCTTCCCAAGCCCTTCATTGACACTGAATCCTTCAAAATTCAACTAGGTGGTTGGTTACCCCTCCAGGGAAGCCATTACATTTTCCTGCTGTAACTGTCATAGCTCCTTGTAAGTGTCCTTTCTAACATGTTTCTGTTCCAATCATGTGCCTGTGTGATTATTTCATTAACATCCATTTCTACATCTAGACCACAAGCTCCTGGAGAGCAGCCCCAGAATCTGGGTTTGTACTCATCACTCAACAGGCATTCCATGCATTCCTAGTCTGGTCTTTGGACATTCAATAAATTTTCGTTGAATGAATGTTTCCCCATCTGTGAAATAAGAAGAGCTCACCTAGATTTCAAGCCATAATATTTAAAGCCTGGATTCTGGGATCCTCCACTCCTCCCTCCAAAGCTGGTTACCCAAAAAATCCCAGGAAATTCCAGATTGTATCTCCCTCATTAACATATTACAAACCTGATTATCTTTCAATTCCCTGAGGCTTACTGGGAGCTCCCAGGCCCTGGGGATTTGACAGCAGGAGAGAGATGGAAATCCTGATGAGTCACTGAGGCTAATTACTAATTTGGGAGTTTTTTCAAACTACTGCACCCTTTCCCATTGCTGTGGTAACTGGATGGGAATTCATCTAGCAAGAGAAAATGTACGTAAAGATTACCTCCCTCCCTCCTCTAGGTTTCTGCAGGTGAAAAGATGTAATGATAGAATAACGAACATTTCCTATGGGGCTGGCACTGTGTTCTACATAGAACTCATTTAATACAACAACCCTGTAACAAAAGAGGTACCATTATGGTTCTATGTTAAAGTTACGGCCCAGAGGGATTTAGTAACTTGCTCAAGGTCACAAAACTCCAGAGACCCTGCTCTTAACCACTGTAATATACTGTCTCTTTTTTAACAAGCAAATGTCACCAAAAAGAGACATTTAGTGACAACCATTTGACCCACTGACTGCTGCAGAACAGTGCTTCACTAATGGAGGCAAGAGAGAAGGTGGTGGGGGTTGGCATCTCACGGGTCACATGGCAAACACTGCTTTCTCAGGCTGAAACTCAAGAGCGGTGATGCTTGTGGAATGAACACTGACAGGTTCCCCCCTCCCCCAAGAACAACAATCACTGGTCTGTAGGGAGCTTCAGCTCTCTGCGCAGAGCTGTGGGCTTCTTTTTTCCTTTTTCTTTCCTTTTCTTTTTTTTTTTTTTTTTAAAGCAGGAAGCAAGCCATGTGCATCAATTATCAGGAACTCTTTAATCCAACTGGGACCCCAAACAAACACCCTGCTTTAACCGGCTGAAGTGATACAAACAATTTACGAAGCCTCATAACCCTGCAGCATCCCAAGTAAGTAGACCGTGATCTTGCGGACAATAAAATGCAAGCCCGTGCTAATACATTGTAGGGGAGTGCATGTGCCTTACACAGAAGGATGCTAGCTCCAAAATAGCAAACTCACTGCCTTTGCTGGGCACTCGGCACGGTACCTGGCCTGCAGGTTCTCAGATTCCATTGGGTTTAGAATAAAATCCAAACTCTTTACCGTTGCCTGCTAGGTCTTACATGTTCTGGCGAACCTCAGCCGCCTCCTAAGCTCCAACGACACTGGTTTTCTTTCCGCGTCTCCGTACTCAGCTCTTTTGGGTCTGTGGCAATTGTACTTGCTGTGCCTCCTGCCTGGATCAGTCCTAGATCTTGCACTGAACGCATCCTTCTCATCACTCAGCTCTCAACGCAAGCATCTCCTCCTGCCTCTGAGGCCTTGGCCTTCAAAGTCCCATTCCCTACTGGAAGCTCTAGAGCTGGCGTTACAACACTGTCTGGCCCGCGAGCCTTCAACGCTTCGATAAATGCTTGTTGAATGCAAAAACGCTGATCCCACTTCAGTCTGCCAGCTCACCCCACGCCCTCTCAAAACACCTAGGGGAATTCATTTCTGAAGAGAACAGAAGCAAGCGACAGCGTAACGCACCCACGCAAAACAAAGCCGGTAATCCGGGGCTGAACTGGTCAATGGCATCTAAAGAAGGCCCCAAGAAAAGCCCTTCCGGATAGCGCACACACTTTTCAAGGGGCGAAACCAGGGGGCCAGACGGCCGGCGGCGCAGCGCTGCCTACCTTGAACTCCGCGGAAAGTTGGGGTGTGTATTCGCGAGTCCAGAGCGCGCGCACCAGCGCCGCCAGCTGCTCGGTGACCTCGGCGCGGCCCGGCGCCGCCCGGTAGCGCCCCAGCGCCAGGAACTCGGCCAGCAGGTCGGTGTTGCTGAGACACTGCACCACGGCGTTCATGAAACAGGTGTTGCCGTGGTTCTTCAAGCCCTGGGCGCCCGGCGGCCGCGCCCCATCGCCGGCAGGGAGCTGGAGCTGGGGGTGCGGTCCCGGCGGGCGCTCCTCCCCGGGGCTCCCGGGGGCCGCTGGGGCCCGGCCCGCGGCGCAGGCAAAGCCCCCCTCACCGTCGCCGTCGCAGGGTCCCGGCTGGGGCCGGGGCGGCGAGTCCCCGGGGCGGGAGCGGCTGCCCAGCGCCAGCAGGAAGCGGCTGAACAGGCGGCGCAGGGAGCGGCGGCGGCGGGGCCGGGGCGCGGGCGGTCCCCCTCCTGCCGCGTCCTCGGGGCCCGGGTCCATGGCTGCCGCCGGCGCAGCTCCAGACGCGGAGCCCCCGGGCCCGAGGCGGACGAGCGGCCAGCAGGCCCTGCAGCTTCGCTAGGCGCCCGGCGCCGGCTACCTGCGGACCAGGTGTGCGGGGACGGGGCGGAGGCGGAGCCAAGGGCGGGGCCGCCCCGCCCCGCGCGGGAATCCGGCCGCACGACCGGCCCCCTGCAGGGCCGCGCCGGGCCACCCCTACCCCTGCCTGGTGCCGCCCCCCGCGGCGCTGACTGGGAGTAGTCGCGGTCGGGTTCTCCACCCCTCCTTACCTCGTATACCGACAGGCCGGGGTTTCGCCTCTGCTCCTGTTCCTCGAGCAGCCTTCAGGCAGTGGAAACGATGGAGGAATGGGCATTCTGAAGGCGCCTGGTAAATCGCAAAGGCCTGGCTACTGCTGAAAGGCAGGCATCTCCAGAGCACAGCCTCGGGCGTGGTGAGAGGCGCGCGCTGGGTGCTGTGTGGGGGCGGGGAGCGCTTTCATGCACCGCTTGTTCCTCCGCAGGCTCAGGTGTGTGCGGACAGGTGTCGCCACCTCCTTCCAGACAGTCTGCCCCTTGGGGGAGGCAGAGCCTCTGCCTGCACCCGCCCACCCGGGACCTTCACTGGGAGCCACGTGTTGCCCTGTGGGGGGAAAAAACCACCCGAGTGGTTGTGGTTTGCTTTTTTACACTACAGATTGGGTTAGAATGGTTTTCCAAAAGCTTGCGAGGCTTGATCATCCTTGCTTTAGTCGGCAAGGAAGTGGGCTCAAAGAGGTTATCCCAACATAGGAGGGGCGCCCGACCCGTAAGTGGAGAAACCGGAACTCGACCTGGATCTCTGGACTGCCAACTTCAGGCCCTTTCCAGCCTCAGTATTTGCTTACCAGGAAGTTTTCAGGCTCTCAGGTGCGCCCCCTACGCGGTTTCTGGTTCACTCCCTAATGCAAAATCCTCGCTGAATGATTGCCCAATCAGAATTAGTGTGGCCTTGCCCCGCCCTTGATTCCCTGAGTAACCCTGGGAGCCCCCCTTCACATTATCCCTTGCAACTGTCCCGTTTATAATTAATCAGGCAAGGTCTTGCAAAATGAGTTTCTCGTCCATTTCTAGCTCAAAAAGAGATCAGCACCATGTGAGATGCAGCATTCTAACAACGCCCTGAAATGTTGCTTGTTAATAAGTGATCATCATTTATTAAATATTCTTGATCCTGGCCGGGTGAGGTGGCTCACAGCTGTAATCCCAGCATTTTGGGAGCCTTAGGAGGCTGAATCACCTGAGGTCAGGAGTTCGAGACCAGCCTGGACAACATGGTGAAACCCCATCTCGGCTAACGATACAAAATTAGCCAGGCGTGGTGGTGCATGCCTGTAAAGCCAGCTACTCAGGAGGCTGAGGCAGGAGAATCACTTGATCACTTGATTCAGTGAGCCGAGATTGCGCCATTGCACTCCAGTCTGGGTGACAAGAGCCAAACTCCAACTCAAAAAAATAAAATTTTTTTTGATCTTTCAAACGGTTGCAGCGGTTACCTCTTGCAAAAAAAAGCCCCATTACTTAAAGGACAAATAACATGCAGCAGTTACTTCATGCAAAAGAGCAGCATTACTTAAAAGATAAATAAAACCTCAGACTGTACTGTGAATTGGAGACTTGTGTTCTGGAAAATGCCATTATTTACCCCTCTCTGGAAGAAGATACCCGGTTGGGTGATTAACACACAGGTCCATTTGATCACCCTTCTGGTGGAAAGCACAGAAGAAAGATGTAATGGCCAACTTCAAGAGAGCATCTCGTAAAATTTCATCTTTCTTTGGTAATTGCCCTGAGTTCCCCAACACGACACATTTTCTTTGAGAAAGCATGCATATTTCACTCTCTGTCAGGAATTCTGCCGATGCTGTAGTACATTAGACACTTAATTCTCACAATAAGCTTTAAAGCAGGAATTTATTCTTGCTTGACAAAAGAGAAAATTGCGGCTCAGAGAATTTTTTTTTTTTTTTTTTTTTTTGATGGAGTCTTGCTCTGTTGCCAGGCTGGAGTGCAGTGGTTGGATCTCAGCTCACTGCAACCTCTGCCTCCCAGGTTCAAGCAATTCTCCCACCTCAGTCTCCCAAGTAGCTGGGATTACAGGCAGCCAACACCACACCTGGCTAATTTTTTTTGTATTTTAGTAGAGACAGGGTTTCACCATGTTGGCCAGTATGGTCTCAATCTCGTGACCTTGTGATTCACCTGCCTGGGCCTCCCAAAGTGCTGGGATTACAAGCATGAGCCACTGTGCCCAACCAGCTCAGAGAATTTTTTTTAAAGCCTACCCAAGATCTGGATTTAAGTCTGAGTCTAGTCCCATACAGCTTAACCAATGAAATGACAATTAAGAAGGAAATTCACTTCACCTTATTTTTAGAGGATAATAGCAATGCTGTCTGTGCACAGATCATGAGGAAGGTCTGTGGGTTTTGCAGAGTTACAGAAAACAGATGATAACAGAAAACCAACAACTGAGAATTTATTCAAAATGTAAAAAGTACTAATTAGAGTCTGCACAAGTTACTCCTGAACATATTTCAATTTTAATGTACAATTTAAGAATATAAGATGCATTCTATAAGGAAAAAGAAAAAGAAAAAAATATGACTCAAGAACAAAAACAGAGAAGTGAGAAATCAAGACTAGTGTTGGAGTTATCTAAACTCGGTCTTCAACAGGATTGTGTGCAATGCCAAGGCTCAGAGTCACCTCACCAGCTTCAGGAGGTGTACGGGTACTTCCATCGCAAAATGGCTCCGTCAGCACTTACACTAACAATATATTGATTTCCTGGACTTATTCGGATGCGTGTGATGTTGCCACTGTGTCCCACCCCGACGTGAGTCACTTCACCCTCATTATAATCCCAAACTTTGACTAGATGGTCACTTCCACCTGAAAAAGATAAACACTTATATGGCATTGCTGCAATAGAAGAGAGAGAAACGGCCCTTATTTCAAATAACTGAATCATTTTCAAAACGGTCCCCATGTATCTATCTTTATAATAACACTGTTTTTTTTTTTTTTTTTGAGACAGTGTTTCACTCTTGTTGCCCAGGCTGGAGTACAGTGGTACCATTTCGGCTCACTACAGCCTCTGCCTCCTGGGCTCAAGTGATTCTCTCGCCTCAGCCTCCCGAGTAGCTGGGATTATGGGCAAGCACCACCAAGCCAGGCTAATTTTGGTATTTTTAGTAGAGACGGGGTTTGTCCATGTTGGTCAGGATGGTCTCAAACTCCCAACCTCAAGTGATCTGTCCATCTTGGCCTCCCAAAGAGCTGGGATTACAGGCATGAGCCACTGTGCCTGGCTGCATTTATTTGTTAATATCCAGATGAATCAAAGAGCTTGGCAGAAAATGATAATGATATTCCAATCGGCATGTTGTGTAGTAAATGCACCCTTTGAAATCCAATTCTTTTTTTTTTTTTTTTTGTGGGAAGGGCATCACATCATGCAATAATAAAGTGGAATTAAAAGACTGGCATTTAAGACTTCAGAAGGATGCTGGACAGCCCAGGCCATTTAAAGTCCCACTTTCGGCGGGGTGCAGTGGTTCATGCTTGTAATCCCAGCACTTTGGGAGGCCAAGACGGGCGGATCACCTGAGGTCAGGAGTTTGAGACCAACCTTGCCAACATGGAGAAACCGCTTCTCCACTAAAAATACAAAAATTAGCCTGGTGAGGTGGCGGGTGCCTGTAATCCCAGCTACCCAGGAGGCTGAGGCAGGAGAATCACAGGAACCCAGAGGCATAGGATTTAGTGAGCTGAGATCTCGCCACTGCACTCCAGTCTGGGTGACAGAGCAAGACTCTGTCTCAAAAACAAACAAACAAACAAATAAACATAAAGACCCATTTCTATTATCAATGCCCAACCACAAAAAACAAGCCTTTATTTGTGCCCCTAAGGTTCTTGTGCAAATGTTTCCTCTCATTGAAATGTGACTTTTGGATTTTTCTTTGTCAGCCACATTGGCTGCAGTGTTGCTTGGAGTCTGAATCTAACCAAGTTGCCTTGAGACCCTATGTGGTCTTTTCCAATTGCCTCCAGCCTGGGAGTTCCTTCCATGTCCTCATCTAAATAAACCAGGCTTGGCTTTTTCCAATCTCAGGACTAACCTGTGACAAAATGCGTTCCTTCTTGTGTGATATCCATGCCATTTATGGACCCGGACAGGGAGCCTTCCAATTCTCTGATTACTGACCCATCAAATACTTCCCAGTAAGCAATCTGGAATTCAGGAAAGAAGCATTAGACAGGATTCAGCTCAGGAGAATCATCCATGCACATGCTAACAAAAGCTGGTTCTACTTTATATAGAAGGTAGCAAAAATACACCACGGGATGATACTGGCTGAAATTATAAATAGGCTACAGCAGGGGGTGGCAAAACCATTTTAATATTTTTAGTATTGGTTTTAAATTTGCATTCTATTTAAGGAGATGTTGATGTGCTGATAAACCTGGATTATGACAGAAAGGGCTTTTGATAAGACTAAGCAGATTGAGCCTGAAGCAAGCTGTAAAAGAACGAACAGCCTCTGCATCCACAGCTAAGCTTCAGGCCTGGAGTGGGGAAAAGCATTTTCTTCCTTCCCACTAGGAAATGAGCACTCCCCGCTCCCCAGAGTTCTAGCGACTGGGCCTTACAGGCACTCTCCTGCTGTGACTGCATCCTCCCTCTTCCTCACCCCACCCTTATTCCCAACTTTCCCTTCTGCCCCAAAGCACTGGAATACTCCACAGGGAGGAGTTTAAAAAGGAACTGGCAACCTCGGTCCTGGGGAGCAGAACTACCTTAGGGTGGAGAGACAGGTGACTAAGGGAGGAGATTTTTTTCCTGAATATATTGCCTTTGTACCTTGAACTTTGTGAATGCACAATCTATTCAAAATTTAAATTTCCTTCTAAGGAAAGAATGCTTCTATTTACAATAGAAAAGGCATGGAATCAACCCAAATGCCCATCAATGCTAGGCTGTGTAAAGAAAATGTGCAGTGAAGAAAATGAGCAGTGGCTCACACCTATAATCCCAGCACTTTGGAAAGCTGAGTTGGGCTGATTGCTTGAGGTCAGGAATTTGAGACCAGCCTGGGCAATATGGTGAAACCCCGTCAGTACTAAAAATGCAAACAGTAGCTGGATGTGGTGGAACACACCTGTAGTCCCAGCCACTTGGGGGCCTGAGGCATGCGAATCACTTGCAGCCAGGAGATGGAGGTTATAGGAGGTTGCAGTGAGCCAAGATTGTGCCACTGAACTCCAGCCTGGGCAACAAAGTGAGACTCTATCTCCAAAAAAAAGAATAAGCTCAAGAAAATGTGGTACATATATACCATGGAATACTATGCAGCCATAAAACGGAGCAAGATCATGACCTCTGCAGACATGGGTGGAGCTGGAAGCCATTATCCTCAGAAAACTAACACAGCAACAGAAAACCAAACACCACATGTTCTCACTTACAAGTGGAAGCTGAACAATGAAAACACATGGACACATGGGGAAACGACACACTCTGGGCACCTGTAGGAGGGTGATGGGTGAGGGGAGGAAGAGCATCAGGAAGGATAGCTAATGGACGCTGGGCTTAATACCTAGGTGATGGGATGACCTGTGCAGCAAACCACCATGGCACAAGTTTACCTATGTAACAAACCTGCACATCTTGCACATCCCCTGAACTTAAAGATAAAAAGCCAGGCATGGTGACTCACGCCTGTAATCCCAGCACTTTGGGAGGCTGAGGTAGGCGGATCACAAGGTCAAGAGATCAAGACCATCCTGGCCAACATAGTGAAACCCTGTCTCTACTAAAATACAAAAATTAGCTGGGTGTGGTGGTGCACACTTGTAGTCCTAGCTACTCAGGAGGCTGAGGCAGGAGAATTGCTTGAAGCTGGGAGGCAGAGGTTTAATTGAGCCGAGATCACGCCACTGCACTCCAGCCTGGTACCTGGTGAAAGAGTGAGACTCTGTCTCTAAATAAATAAATAAATAAAATCCAGGGCACGGTGGCTCACAGATATAGTCCCAGCCCTTTGGGAGGCTGAAGCGGGTGGATCACAAGGTCAGGAGTTCAAGACCAGCCTGGCCAAGATGGTGAAACCCCATCTGTACTAAAAATACAAAAATTAGTTGGGCATGGTGGCGGGCGCCTGTAATCCCAGCTACTCGGGAGGCTGAGGCAGAGAATTGCTTGAACCCAGGAGGTGGAGGTTGCAGCCAGCCAAGATCACACCACTGCACTCCAGCCTGGGCCACAGAGCGAGACTCTGTCTAAAAAAAAAAAAAAGATGAAGAAAAAAACAAACAAACAAAAAGAGTGCTTGACCAGACCAGGAATCAGGAGTGCAAACTTGGCGTGCATTTCATTCATTTCTCTTTGTTTCTTGTTGGAAGCTTGCTGTTTTCTAATCACTATCCTGAGAATCTATATTCCTCTGAATCTAGCTAGACATTGTGCATACTATTTAGTTTTTTTCTTTTGCTTTGTAATGTCAGTTGATGCTTGATCATGTTAACAAAAAAATTCTGATTTCCTAGTGAATGCCTAAAGAGATATAAAACCATGCCAGAGCCCATGTTTCTCAGGAACGACACCCACAGAAGTAGTTAGAACTTCACTGCCTGCCTTCCCAGGCAAAGAAGCCAAACTGACACTCTCCTGGGCAGCCCTAGTAGGGCTCCATCTTACCCGAGTGTCCTCTGCCAGGGAGGCCCTTCCTTGAGGTCTAGGCCTTGGCTGGGTCCTTCTGTCCTTCAGGCCTCAACTCAGATGCTACTCCTTAAGGAGATCTTCACCCACTACACTAGTTGAAGGAGCTTCTCCCCGCCTGCCGGCATCATATCACCTGTTCTATCTCCTGTCTCAGTCTCTCACCATCTCATGTCTTGTTCACTTATTACTCGTTGTCCATTCACAGATTGGCTCATGTATGTATTAGCCAATTCCATCCCCTCCTACCCAAAATAAATTAGGAAAGTAGGGTTCATGAGAGCAGGGACCCTTTAAGCTGGGAAATCTATACCATGTGTAGTTTTTGTTGTTGTTGTTGTTGTTGTTGTTGTTTGTTTGTTTAGACAGGGTCTCACTCTGTCACCCAGGCTGGAGTGCAGTGGCACAATCTCGGCTCCCTGCAACCTTCGCTTCCCAGGTTCAAATGATTCTCATGCCTCAGCCTCCCAAGTAGCTGTGATTAAAGGCACCCACCACTGCCCAATTAATTTTTGTATTTTTAGTAGAGATGAGAGTTTCACCATGTTGGCTAACCTGGTCTTGAACTCCTGCCCTCAGCCTCACGAAGTGCTGGAATTACAGGCATGAGCCACTGTGTTCAGCTCCGTGTGTAGATTTTTAATGTATTGATGAAGGACAGTGATGAGCGATGAGGAGCTCTATTGCCTTTCTGTTTGAATTTAGTCAAAGTGATAACAGGTTTGGCCACAGCAATTCTACTCCAGCCTCAGAAATTCCCTAATAATAAAAACCAATCTACAGAGTACCTACTATGTGCCAGGCTTCCTGCTATAAGCCCCATAGGCGAGCATGACTTTAATCCTCACTCTATGAGGTCTGTGGTACCATTTCCACTTAACAGACGGGGAATTGAAGACACTGGAAGGTGATATGGCCTTTCCAAGTTGACATGGCTGATTGATGACAGACCGCCATTTGAACCAAGGTGATTGACTGCAGAGCCTGCCCCTTCCGTCACAACGCCTCCCTGCTTATCTCTTGCACTGGAAAGATCTCAGCTCTCGCTGGGAGGACTCACCTTTCTGTCTGTCCCGCTGGTGATGATCTGGAACTCCTCAGGGTGATAGCACACACACTGGAATAAGGTGTTGGCTAGGATCATCTGATTCCTCCTAAGCCGCCTGGGAAGTGGATGCAAAAGCTGTGAAAGTCAACTTTCTCTTCCCTAAAACATTTATTTACTATTCAAGCTGGATTTGGTACAAGCTGGGATTTGGGTTGGTTTATCTCTATGCCAAACATTTCATACTGCTCAACACAGTGACGTTTGTATTTCTTCAAAACAGACTTCGGGTTGCCCTGTGCTCTCTACTTCTCTATACTCCCATTGGCCTATCAGCGACCACCAGAGGACAATGGGAAGGGCCCTTTGCTAAAGACAGGGCACAAAACTCAATGAGACCCCTTAAGTTGCAGCGAAAAAGAAACAGAAGAGGCTGAACTCAGAGCCAACCTGCTGCCTCCCACACAATGTAATTGATTCTTGAGGCCGCCATTTGGAAGTGGAGCTCCCTACAGTCTGAGCAGCAGAATGTGGGGAAGGGCATTTTATTTTATTTATGTTTTAACCATCAATGTATCTTTAATTCGCAAATAAAAGCTGTAGCAAAATGTCATCCACACATTTGTACACAGGTTAAGATGTGCCATATCATGCGCAACCCTCAGAAAACATGAGCCTGTCACGTGGGGATTTTGCAAAAGCTGGCAGGCTCAACCCTTGTCTGCATATGGTAAGAAGTGCCTCCCAAGGCCCCCCACCCTGTCCAGGGTGCCCCCAAGAGGGAGCTGGCCTCCCACAGCTGAAAAGAGCCCGCCCTCGGAAGGGTATTTTAAAAACAGGCGTGATGGTTTACGCCTGTAATCCCAGCACTTTGGGAGGCCGAGCCAGGTGGATCTTGAGGTCAGGAGTTTGAGACCAGCCTGATCAACATGGTGAAACCCTGTCTCTACTAAAAAAAAAAAATACAAAAAAATTAGCTGGGCGTGGTGGTGCATGCCTCTAATCCCAGCTACTCAGGAAGTTGAGGCAGGAGAATCGCTTGAACCGGGATGCAAAGGTTGCAATGAGCCAAGATTGTGCCATTGTACTCCAGCCTGGGTGACAGAGCAAGACTCTGTTTCAAAGAGGGAATAAAATGGTATTAAGGGCTGGGTGCAGTGGCTCACACCTGTAATCCCAGCACTTTAAGAGGTCAAAGCAGGCAGATGACTTGAGGTCAGGAGTTTGAGACCAGCCTGACTAACATGGTGAAACCCCATATCTATGAAAAATACAAAAAGTTAGCCAGGCATGGGAACCTTGTAATCCCAGCTACTCGGGAGGCTGACGCAGGAGAATCGCTTGAACCCGGGAGGCAGAGCCTGCAGTGAGCCAAGATCATGCCACTGCACCACGCCGACCAACGCTGCATTTTAAGCCAGCATTTCAGTTGATTTTTATGTGCATAATAGAACCCCTGCCTTAGATACTGTACCAAGAAATATGTAAATATCGCTTCTCCTTCCATAGACAATGTGGTGGGTGGCCATCTCACAGGACAGGCTTTCCTGGCTAAAAAATGCACCTTCTGCACAGTTTCTTCTCATTATGGAAGTTTTCAAACGTGGTATCTGAGCTGAGCATTTTTAAAAGATTTTGGCACCAGAATTCCTGCTATACAACAGAACAGCTTTAAGGATTTGAGGCAGTCACAAACCATCCATAGAAATAAGTTCAGACATGTCCTTCTGGTTCTGTATTTTCCCAGTAGGAAGGTCAGTATAGGCTAACACTTTCTACAAGTGTGGTCCTTCAACCAGCACTCCCAGCTGGGAGCTTCTTAGAAATGCAGAATCTCAGGTACCATGCTACATTTATTGAATCAAAATCTACGTTTTTAACAAGATCCCCAAGAGACACACAGGGCTAGAAGACAAAAGCTTGCTTTGTGTTTCATTGTTTTTTTGTTTCGTTTATTTGGTTTTGTTTTTGAGACAGAGTTTCACTCTGTCACCAGGCTGGAGTGCAGTGGCGTGATCTCGGCTCACTGCAACCTCCGCCTCCCGGGTTCAAGCAATTCTCCTGTCTCAGTCTCCTGAGTAGCCGGGATTACAGGCACGCACCATCACGCCCAGCTAATTTTTGTATTTTTGTAGAGATAGGGTTTCACCATGTTGGTCAGGCTGGTCTCAAACTCCTGACCTTGTAATCTGCCCACCTCGGCTTCCTAAAGTGCCAGGATTACAGGTGTGAACTACAGCGCCCCGCCCTGATTTGTGTTTTTTAATGCATTAAGTACACAGTGAGTGCTCATTCCCATTAAGGGTTTCTCATATTCTTTTGTCATGCATGTCTCCTTCCTCCCATCTTTGCACTTATCCTCTCTTATGCAGCGATATTAAGGCAGTGCCTCATAGGAGTGGTTGAGGGGTGATAGGTAGGTGGGGAGAGGGGTTGGAGGAGCAGGGTCTGATTCTAAAATAAAAACACAGCAAAAATGCTTATAGTCAAAAATCCAAAAAGCCACTTTTCAAAAATCCTTTGAGTTACTCCTACAATAAAGTTCACATGCTTTGGTCTAGCTGGTTTGATGTTAGTCATTCTATGGGGGAGTGATATGCTTAGAGCATAAGAGGTCCCTGGGAATGTGTCCAACCAAGGGGAAAGGCAAACTTAGGTCCCACCAGCATCCCTCCCCTCCTTGGAGAGATTATTCTGGGCTTCACCTGACTGAGCGGAATGATGAAAAGCACTGCCTGCATTAGTTCTTTTTCTTTTTTTTTCTTTCTCTCTTTCCTTCTTTCTCTCTCTGTCTCGATATCTCTCTCTCTGCCTTTTTTTTTTTTTTGAGACAGAGTTTCAGTCTAGTTGCCCAGGCCAGAGTGCAATGTCATGATCTCAGTTCACTGCAACCTCTGCCTCCTGGGTTCGAGCGATTTTCCTGCCTCAACCTCCCGAGTAGCTGGGATTCCAGGAGCCCACCACCACACGCAACTAATTTTTGTATTTTTAGTAGAGAAGAGGTTTCACCACATTGGCCAGGCTGGTCTCGAACTCCTGACCTCAGGTGATCCGCCCACCTCGGCCTCCCAAAGTGCTGGGATTACAGGCGTGAGTCGCTGTGCCTGACCTCATATTAGTTATTTTTCTTGCCCCCTTTCATTTCGGACATTTAGGGTTGAATTAGTGTAAGTTAAATCATGCTTTGCTGTGTGGACCCAGAAAGCTATTTCCCTATCTGCCCAGAAACTTCTAACATTCAGTTCTCCCTGGAAAATGTACCCTTCTCACCAGCATTGATAAACCATGGACATTCATGAACAGCTTCTGATGAACATCTCTTTACCGTGTTGCATTAGGTAAGATTTCTACCTTCTATTTGAATCCTCTCTCATGTTCAATAAACTGTTGGCACGATTGGATTTTGCAAGTATCACAGTATCCTCCCCATCACAGGTACCTACACAAGGTCCCAAATGATACAAGTGCCATCAGTGCTAGCGGTGACACACTCCTCATTGTTCTTCTTCACCCTAATGCAGGACACTGAGGATTTGTGCTCCTTCAGGGCCTCCTCCAGCTTCTGGGTCTGACAGCCTATCTGCCATACCCTCACCTGAAAGCCACAGAGCACAGGATCTTGATATACATTCGGGACTTCTGAAGGGAAAAGAAAAGATTCCAAGAGCTGTTTCACCTTTGCTGTGCTTGGCTTGTGTTTTTTAATTCTCTGTCTTCATCTTGGTTGGGTGGGGTGGGAATGCTAAACTGAAGAGCAGGAATATTCATATATAAGATGTGATCATCCTCAACAGAGCTTGAAAAATTCTACTAACAATCCTGTACCTGCTTGTATGTACAGGCTGAGAAATTTAATCAGACACCTGCTACGAAAATCAATAATGCCAGGCCCAATGCTAAACCAAATGAAATAATGTCTATTCACTTTTGCTGATCATTGCTCTCAAATTTCTGGTACCATCAGGAAATTTTGTGGGTACCCAGAGCCATACTGAAACTTTTACAATCAGCTGTTCGATTTTAATCATTTAAGAACAAATGGTTTGGTTCCCAACTCTACTGAATCCAATACCTATTTTATATGACAAATTTTTTTTTTTTTTTTTTTTTTTTTTGAGACGGAGTTTCGCTCTTGTTACCCAGGCTGGAGTGCAATGGCGCGATCTCGGCTCACCGCAACCTCCGCCTCCTGGGTTCAGGCAATTCTCCTGCCTCAGCCTCCTGAGTAGCTGGGATTACAGGCACGTGCCACCATGCCCAGCTAATTTTTTGTATTTTTAGTAGAGACGGGGTTTCACCATGTTGACCAGGATGGTCTCGATCTCTTGACCTCGTGATCCACCCGCCTCGGCCTCCCAAAGTGCTGGGATTACAGGCTTGAGCCACCGCGCCTGGCCCTTATATGACAAATATTTTTAAATGCCTGTTTATTATCCCGAAGTGAAATTCATAGGTAATACAACTACCTACACACAAAATTTAAAAACATTAATATCATGCTTTAATAAAAAGGATAGATAAAAGGAAAGTTGTTTAGTTAGTATAGTATTTCTTTAATTTTTTTTTTTATTTTTTGAGACGGAGTCTTGCTCTGTCACCCAGGCTGGAGTGCAATGACGTGATCTCAGCTCACTGCAACCTCAGCCTCACTGTGCCCAGCCTGACTTTTGCATTTTTAGTAAAGACAGGGTTTTACCATGTTGGCCAGGCTGGTCTCAAAACTCCTGACCTCAGGCGATCCACCCTCCTCAACCTCCCAAAGTGCTGAGGTTACAGGCATGAGCCACGTACCCGGCCAGTATTCTTTTAATGGACAAAGGATCTGTCACAACTGCCCCAGAAAACATAGCAGTCAGATGCTTATGCCTTCTTATAATGACTGTGTTGGATTTATGAAAAATAAGATGAGCAGAAAGTATTCTGTACAAGTTGTACAAGACAACAGAATAACAATGATTAGAGCGAACATTAGGTTAAAAACTAGTGTTATTATGCACACGTATGTTCACTGTGGTGCTATTTACAGTAACAAAGACGTGGAATCATCCCAAATGTCCATCAATGATAGACTGGACAAAGAAAATGTGGCACATATACACCATGGAATATTATGCACCCGTAAAAATGGATGAGTTCATGTCCTTTGCAGGGACATGGACGAGGCTGGAAACCATCATTCTCAGCAAACTGACACAAGAACAGAAAACCAAACGCCGCATGTTTTCACTCATAGGTGGGTGATGAACAAAGAGAACACTTGGGCACAGGGAAGAGAACAACACTCACTGGGCTAGGTGCCGGGGGTGGGGGTGAAGGGGTGGGAAGGGACAGCCGGGGGTGGGTGTGGAGGATGGGGAGGGATAACACCTGGAGTAATGCCTGATGTAGGTGACAGGAGTGGGGGGATGGCAACAGCAAACCACCATGGCATGTACGTACTTATGCAACAATCCTGCAGGATGCAGGACGTGCACATGTACCCCAGAGCCCAAAATACAATTAAAAAAAAAAAAAAAAACCTAGTGTCAGGACACGTAATAACAGACCTGCCTTATTTGTACCTGATATGAGGAAAATAACATTCTAAGACATTGTCTAAATTGTGGAAGGAGAAG